GTGTGTGTGTGTGTGTGTATTTATGCTGATCCCACCCTAAAATAATTCTGTTTGAATTGGTCTGGGGTGAAGCCCAGGCATTAATATTTTCAAAAAGCTCTGCAGATGATTCTAATGTCTGCGCAGCTAGAACTCTGAGCCACTCTCCAGTGCTCTCTGAAAATGCTCTCATGTAATTGTCTCCCTGTGTATTTCCCCCACAAAAGGAAAATTGTGCATCGTGCCACTTTAAATCAAACTTTATAACATGCAGGAACTGTCAAAATATAAACATTTGCTTTATTTAAAATTACTTTTAAGAATAGCAAAGACATGTTATCCGATTAGCTATTTCTTACACTCTTTTCATGCATGATTTTTGTGCATCTCATTACCTCTTTAGAAATATCTAATGAAATCAGTACTATAATAAAAACACTCCATTTTCAATTAAGAGTGTTTATTTGAAAATGTTAATATAAGTCAACTGCTTGTTCTACTTCTGGTGAATGTGAACCTTGGTTCTTGTATTCATTGTCACATATGAATTTTCCTTTTTTGTAAAGGAAAAGTTGGCAATTTCCAATTATGATATTTGTAAGAGACTCCCTTTCCCAATTACTAAAGCAACCACTCTTTGAGTGTTTAGCATATCAGAATTCTTTTGGATATAATCTTTATGAGAGTTTGTCAGTACTGTCCTTTATTTTAGAAATGTGCAGATGAAAAAATACATTCTCATACGAACGTAACAGCATTGTTACATACAACAAATTTCCATCAGTACTCCTTCCTGTATGTAAACTGAGGAGAAAGCATTTGGATGAGCTGGGAGGTAATTTAAAAGCTAGCTTCATTTGTGCCCAATATTTCCACAAAATATCCAAAACCCTTGTAGAGAGAATCATATCATCAGTGTGTAATCACAAGAGAGAATATAGTTGAAGCCTACTCCCGATGATGGTGGTGAAGTGAATTGGCATTAGAATAATACATGTCATGACATGGTTTTAAATATAAAACATGCAATCCACATGATACTCAGGAGTCTTCACTAATATTATTTGCTTCACCTGCCATGCAAAGGAATTCAGGCTGATGCAATTCTCTAGTAATCCACAGGACTCAGAAGGTTTAACATAGGATTCTGGGGTAACTTAACTATAAATTGAGAGATCAGCTCTGAGTAAACATTTTGGTGTTTTCCTCGCTGTGTTCTGGAAGTTCGGGGATGAAGGGACTAAAATAAACGTTGTTATACAACCCAATGTGCTCTGATGCAGGAACTCTCCCTGGGCTCTTTGTTGAAGCTGAGTCTGTGCTTCGGTGCTGGCTTGTTGCCCTATGTCTACCTTCCTGTCTCGTCCTACCTCAATCAAGCCCGTTGGACCTGGGGAGACCAGACAACATTGCTAGGATTTTTGACGCATTTTCTCAGGGAAGAATATGGAACATTCAGTCTGGTAAATTTATATTTAAAACCCTTTTGGGGCACTGGGCTGGCGCAGCTGGTAGAGCATGCGACTCTTGATCTCCGGGTTGTAAGTTCAAGTCCCATGTAGGGTGTACAGATTACTTAAAAAATAAGATAAACTCTTAAAAATAAGTAAAACGCTTTTAAGGAAGCAAATGGCAAAACTTCAGTGTTCTGCCTGGGCTTTGACTGAAAAAAACAATATTTATCAATGACAGTACAGAGAATTTTCATTGCAGTTATTTACATAACAGACTTGCTCCTTGGAATATGGCCTTTAACAGACATTAGCAAAAAGTTGGAATCCCCAAACCTGACATCATAATGTCGTATATCCCGAATATATTTCTCAGCATGACAAAGTTAAAAAGATTCTGCCACCAGCACTTGAAACACTTCATTCTTAGCATCGGGTATCACTTTGGTCCCTCAGTCTGTGATTTAAAAATATTTGGAAAG